TTTTTTTTCTCCTACTATACAAGTGAAGGGATTTAAACCAAATGCAGTCTGAAGCATGCTTAGGGAGAAAAGAATCAATTTTGTTTAAACTGAGGTGTGTGGATTCCCCTTCTTTGGGGCAGATTAGTGGGGCCCATTAGGGGAAATAGAGGAAAACATTAAAGATCCTTCTCCTTCTGTACCGTTGAAGGGATTTTAACCTAACCAAACTTGTTTTAGAGAATCTTTGGGCAAAGGGAATTGAATATTTATAAATGGAAGATGCAACTTTGTTACTTGTACTCCTTTGATAAGCCTGAATGGTACTCAGCAGGTTTTAAATTGAAAAATAAAATACCAGGTGACCTATTAAGGCCCCTGGGCCTCTTGTTTTTTAAATCGCTTACCTTTAAAACTTCATGAAGCAAGAGTTCATGTTTTAAATGTATTGGTCGAGTGGTTAACACTCTGGCCTTCCAAGCAGGCAGCCGGGGTTCGAACCTCGAAGTCGCCGTCCTCATGGAATATTAGAGAAAGTGTTTTTCTCCTGCCCACACAACTCCAACAACCCAGGTGGAGTATAAAATGGTCTGGGGTGGGTGTTGCGGTATCTGTGCTGTAGCATTCGAGTGAGGTGGCACTATAAATGATACCGTTGGAAGCACGGTCCCACAAAAAACAGAACACAATACATCTCCAGCACACACACAGAGAGATATTAGCCAGGTGGCATAGGACTAGTAGTTAGTGCCTGATAAGGCAGCTCCTGCGAATTCTTCAATATTGTATTGATAAATATATATGCTAATTGTATTGACTGTATAAAATTGTATATCTATGTACTGTACAGCGCTTTAGAGTGGCTTATGTTAGCTAGATAGGGCGCTATATCAAATGTTGTATATTATTATTATTATTATTATTAAGACTGTTTCTGGAGAAAAAGAAAATGTCAGAAAAAACATTTCATTGATTTAGCTGTTGACAGAGTCTTGACAATGAATGCAAGGCAATACAAATCTGGGTAGAGATTGTTAAACTCGTTGTGCTGCAGATGTTCAGGCAATATTAGTTGGTGTGATTTATTTGGTATTATTTTGTGACATCCGTATTGTATGAACTCATTGACCTCTAATGTATGGCTCAAATTATGGGATATATAAAGGATGGTATCAAATATCACCGACTTCCTAGATGTTATGTTTTCAGAATAAGATTCCTCAGTTTGATATTATGTTTTTAAGCGTAAAACAACACAAGTATGCTACCAGGAATAGCACCAGGATCAGGCCTTTCCCCTAAGGATTTAGTTTCTGATCTTAAGATTGAAATGATTGAGATTCCAACCCTATAAAATATACCAATATATACAGATCTGTACCATATTTGTTATTAAGAATCCTTGGGTCCAGGAACAGAGCCTAAAGTGGGGATGCAATGCGATGTTCAATATTTTGCCATATTTCCATAAATATCCAAATGAGCAATACAGTCCTTCAGAACCTCTTAACTTCAGTTCATTTACTTGTAAATGACAGCGGTCATGTTTAAGTTTCCACAGATTTCCAGAATAGTGATTTTTTTTAAAATCTGAATCAACCTTCTCAAGATAATCACTAAACAATTTACTCTCCTCTCAAATTTACATTAAAACCACTTCATTATTCAATAAATTGATCTTTAGGTGAACTTTGACAAGAGAGAAATACTTTGCGACCTAACAATTGAGGCATACTTGCATATCGCTTACCTCTTTTTATATATTTATTTGCTGATAGAAAAGAAGAACCTGTATGTTTCACCTGCTTCATATAATTGTTATGGCATGAAAATATCTCTCTGCTTGTGAGGTGGTAATTATACGTTATCAAGTGATCATTTTCATATCCTTCCCCAGACCACCTTATATATCATCAGCCACAGGGCTGACAGGTTGATAATGGGTAGAATATGAAAGGTGATTTGCTTTTTCTAAAGATTTGTAAAATAAGCTCATCTCATTATAAAGTTTATCAGAAAAATACACCCAAACACATTCTCAGATATTTCACTTTTTTTTTTTATTGCACATGAGCTCAAAATATCAACAAAACAAAAACAACATCTAAATGGATTAAAACTTAAGTAATAACCAGAATCTACCAATGAGGCAGGGTCCTATCACTGTGAACATCACGGCGTGGGAGGAGATGAGGTATCGTCACTTGACATAGCTGGGAAATAGGAGTACATTGTATAATATTAATTCTTAACTACTTGAAGTAAATAAGTAAGTAGAGAGTTTGTATAGTAAACACAGGGTATGATATGGCACCAAGTCCTTTTTCTTTTCTTAATACAAATATTTGTATAAACATCTTCAATGCAGGTTCATTACGTGAAACCATGGTCATTAAAAACAAAACACAAAAAAGTTGGGTGAAAATTTATACCTCTTCAGTCTTGGCATCATGATCATTACCAACAAAACAGAAAATATAAATGTTTTAATTGGATTTGGATTGAAATAGATAATCTTTCTAATCAAATTAAAATCAGTATTGTAAATTATGATATGTTAAATGTGGCAATATTTTGGTTCAATACATCAGCATATATTATAAAGTTTGTTATCTATGAAATTACTCTGTGCAAGTACGACAATTAAACATAATGAAGAATGTTCTTTGTTGTAAACTGGGTCGAGTTTTTACAAGCCTAATTTGATAACAACAACCTGACATTAAACTTTCGTAGGGAACCAAAACAATCTTCTTAATACAGCTAGCTATATAGTATGTAAATGTGATGAGTTTTTTTTTGAGGAAGTCTGGGTTTGAGTAATGAGGCCCTAATCTCTGATGTAAATCCTACTTGTGATGAGGAGTTTTGAGGAAGTCAGGGTTTGAGTAATGAGGCCCTAATCTCTGATGTAAATCCTACTTCGATTGCCGCAATATATGATAAATATTAGTAAATTAAACAGAAAATCAAAATGTATTATCCAGTCTGTCATGATTACTACAAAAAAAATCAGTAACCAAAATTTTCATTAATTTAAAAGTAAGTGTAATAGAAAAGTGATGAATTGACACACGAGAAACAAATCCCCAAATTTCACTCTAGGTATTGAATTGACACATGGAAATCATAAAATGCCAAATTTTCACTCAATTATTTCGTACAAGAAGAAAGTAAATTTTCAATGACTCTAAATCCTGTGGATTTGTAAAAGTTAAGTTTGAGGACTAAATTTGTCAAGTTGACAGTTGTGGTGGCTATGGTGATGATAAATGAAAACAACAAACAAGACTGGATTTATAGAACACTGTCACAATGTATCACAGGGGTTTGTGTGGATTTATATAACACTGTTACAATGTATCACAGGGGTTTGTGTGGATTTATAGAACACTGTCACAATGTATCACAGGGGTTTGTGTGGATTTATATAACATTGTCACAATGTATCACAAGGGTTTGCATTTGAAGGTTCAGTATTCATTTCTCGAAAACAAACTTCAGGTTGAAATTGAACAATAACAATATGTTAATTACAAAATATTACATATTGATGATAAATCTTTGGTTGGTTGCATCCGTCTCGACACATTTTCCATAGGGGTACGCAGCCTGCCAGTATAACCTTTTTTGGTCTTTTGATAGATTTATCTATTATTTTATCATAAATCTTCATTACTACAGAAATTCGTCCATGGTGCTAATACTATTGATGTAACAAAGTTCTTCTGTTTATGTGTTTCTCCTAGGTATTGACCTAGAGCTGAAGATGTTGAAAAATTGTACTAAAAATAAGCAAAAAAACTAAAAAGTGAAACTTGCCTCATCAGAGATGGATATTCTGTCATATCCAACATACAGCGGTAATTTCACATCTCAAAAAACTGACTCCAATGTGTCGGATTAGACAGGTTTCACTAAGTACTGCAGCTATTTCATCATAGAGGTAAATTTTTAATGCTTTGTTCGGTATACCCAGGTTTTTCTTGAGCTTATATTATTTGAACATTAAATTTTGTTAAAAGTCGCTCACTTCCCGATAAATGTCTTGAACAATTATTTGGACATGTTGAAAATACCAGGCCCCAGTTGCTGTAAGGTTGGTTTATTTCAACCACTGGTTAGTGAAAAAAAAAAAAATGTTGCCAAGAGGAAGCATCAGCTTTCAAAGCGAAATAAATCCTCAAACACATCAACCTTATTTGTCTCAGCAATTCAGAGCAGTGAAATGATATCACATGTTATTGATTTTGTACTATTCAAAGTTTAATATTTTCCCTAACCACTGGTTAACTTTTAACAAACCTTTGAGCAACTGAGGCCAGACTACTTCAGTGTAAATTGGTTGACTAGAGTTCAGTGGCTTTACAGCTACAATACACGTAATGAAGGAACATGTATTGACCAAAACAAATCCTTAGAATCTGTGCACAGTGTTAACACCCTATCCCACTTAAAGTAAAGGGTACCATTGTAGCCGGTATAATTCTATAAATTTCCACTTCAAAACTATTTGCGACTTGGAGTTGAATTTCCTTTATATAGAGCAGAGAAGAACCATAAAGAAATTAATTCAGACTTAGAGTCACTTCCCTTGGCAGATTCATGTTTTCATTTGATACTGTTCATCAACTCATTCACCCCTGAAATTTCATAATGGACTATTATACCAACCTTTGAATTGGAAAAGTTCAAATGTGTTTTCAGGGGTGAACGAGTTAAAGCACCGTTGGTTTTGTGACAAGGTGCTTGACCTATGTAACATAATTCTCAAATACATAATGTACTCAAATTTTGAAAAGAAGAAAAAACGTCATGTGGTGTTTTATATGGAATGCTGCAGTAGAAAATGACTTCAACTAATATTTGATACAAGCAACAATGGTGATAATGGTTTTTAACTGGATGGTACTTTTACTGATAAGATTTGTTCATTTTTGACATTGTAATTGACATTTAACTGACTATAGAAATTCTTACATATCTTTTTGTTACACCTGTCAAGCTGTTCAAAGAAAGCATTGTCAAATCTTAAAATAAATTAACATCTGAAAAAAATCTATCTACACCTTGCAAAAATAAGTGCACAACATCAACAATAAAAACATGTAGAAAATGATGTTTGGCCTAGTTTTTGTTAGTGGTTTAAAACAATTGTATTATCACAGTTTCTTACTTTTTCTGGGATTGCTCGACAGATTAAAATGATGTAAAATTTCAAAAATCAGATGAAAACCAAATTACTTAAGTGGGATAGTGGGGTAGAACATAGACATGGCGGTAAACAAGAATACATTTCATATTAGAACTTGTCATAATGCAAAAAGGAATCTTGAGGAATTCCAGATCAGAGATGAACACCCTGTAAATATAGGAGCATTTGCAAAAAACAATAACTCCGTCTTCAAATCATATTAACAACAAACAATGCTTTACGGCCATCATACTATCTATCTTATATATCCATGGGTCAATTTAGGTTTTGCAGCATCCCTTATCTGTTATATAGGTTTTATACAGGTATGGTGGGCTGATATCTGTCTGGATCCAAACAGTCACTATACTACCTTTAGGTGTCTGTATAAACATACCTGCTAACCCTCCCTATTAAGGAGGGAGACTCCAGATTTTGGACCCTTAAATATAGTGGTTTCAACCAGTGAATTTGCTAAACTGTTCCTATATTCTAAGATCTAAATGATTTTCATCTGAAAGAATTTTAAAGGGTTATTTTGTCTCTAGGGATTGTATTCACACATTTTATTTATGTTTTAATTTTAAGCACCCTTGTAAAGTTCCCCATTGTAGTGATTTCATTGTGATGAACCTGTATTAAGAGTCCACCTGTGTTAGGAGACCACCACTTTAACTTTCCATGAGTGGTCTAGCTCTCTTAATATAGGTTTGACTATTTGATTATTGATCAAGTTTTTCATATAAAAAAGGGAAAAATAAATAAATCATAAAATAGCTACTACATGTAATTTCAAGAGAGGAGTGTGATTAATAATAAAATACATAACTGCTACGCTTACATGAAACTGACTTCAGTGCAAAGGAAACCAAACTTCACCATGGGATGTTGATTAGAGGTACACTTAAGATTGATGTGATGATGGTACAAAACTTACATATCAAATGACAAACTTGTGAATTGAAACTAGTGGTCACATGATTGACATGTGACACAATGAATCACTTTATGTACAATACAAGGGCATGAATTGTGTATGAACAATGAAACACCAAACAACACTTGGCATCTCGGTGGTAAAAACAATTTATAATTCTGGCAGCAATGACCGACAATTGTCAATTGGTCATCACACAGGTGGACCACATGTCCCCATAGAATAATTTCTTCACTTTGCCTGTTTGACGCCCAACTGAATAAAGATTAAAATCTTGTGAAAAATTTCTTTGCTGAATGGCAAAGGTGAATTGAACTGGCTCCATTATCCCAATCAATAGTAAAACTTCAGACATTAATTTCCTTAAACTTGAATAGTTTATATGTCTCGACAACCATTTTTTTCTTGATAAATATCAATATTTATACTGCAGAAGTGTTACATTATATGCAGTATATTTTCCTGCTTTTAATTATATTGAAAACTATCAGTAAATTGTTTTGAAACAAAATTGGAAATTTCAAGTTAACTTCAAATCTAGGTTACAAGCTTTGTTTCTATGTATCGTTCAATTTGAAAAATAAATTAAAAAACAATAACATCAAATCAACAATTAATTGAGACCTGATGAAAATTTCCCAATTTCAGGCAATTTCAGACTGAAGTTGACTTTTGTTTGAGATATTTGGGGCTTGCTGGACTGCTACAATTAGTGATAATAACTAGTGGGTGTTGATAACATGGGTTCTTATAACTATCAATGATGAGAGTACGTCACAAGTATAGCTACACAATATTATAACACTGGGTCCACTATACTGGTAGTACCACAATACTGGTAGTACCACAATACACTCCAACACTTTCGGATCTTTGATGATAGATTTTTGTTTTTAATGAAGAAGATTCCATAAACAAACTGAACTGAATGTTTTGTTGTAACATTGTTGTAGAAAGATCTGTCTGGTTATTTGATGAAATATTCAATATTATAAAGAATTTCGTGATTCTGTTGCATGTGCAAATAACAAATTTAACACAATATGATATGAATCGCCCACAATACAACTTGTAGGCAAAAGAAAATTGACAAACATGAATGTCTGACAATGTTATACGTTAGAGCTTAGTCCAACCTCGAAAAAGCAATGATCTCTTGTGAATTTGTACTGTAACTTAATATACAGTACTCACTGTACGAAGTTTCTGCACAAAGTATGTTACCAGACAAATCACATATTTAGGGATGCATGATGACCTTAGGTCTTCCGAAAGTTTCCTGAATCTATGTGAATGACCTTGCATTGTTTGACCTTTGTGACCTTTGCGATCACAATTTAAATTTTACAGCTTGACCTTTGCAAGTGAGTGATCATGCACTGAACTGGACCTTCACAAGTGTGAGTGACCTGACATTGTCTGACCTTTCACAAGTTAAGTAAAACTTGCAATGTTGGGCCTCATATATATCCCATGATATTAACAAGATACATGTACTTTCTTTTGATTTCAGTCAAGCTGAAGTGTGACCATAGGTTACATGACACTGATCAATCAGTATACACATGAAAAAATCTACATCAATCGAGATTCTCTAGTTTGTGATGACAAGCAGAGTGAAAGGTTCATACAAGTACTCTATATTAATGACAAAATGTATCTGATAATTGTAAAAATATTCTCCTTTAAATACATGTAATAAATCACATTTCACTCAGATTTTATTTGAAGCTCGAGACCAATTCAGGGGAATTCCTATCTGTATTTGTAGTAGGAAGAATTCTCCACGCTGAACGAACTGAATCAGTAGAAAGCTTCAAACTTCAAAATCCAATTCTTTTTAAAGCTTTATGCTTTATAATCCAGTTGGGAAAAACTTCAACTCTCATAAACCTCCTCAGTAGAAAGCTACATGTTTTATACTCTGATTCAGAAGAAAGCTGCGAACTTCAAAATCCAAATCAGTAGAAGTGTCCCAATGTATAAATGGAATCAATAGGAAGCTTCACAATTCACATTCCGATTCAGGAAAAAGCTTCAAACTTCATAATCTGATTCAGCAGAAAGCTTCACACTTCATAATAATTATTGGTACTTTTATTATCCAAAACGTCATATTTCAAAATCCAATTCAGCAGACTATAAGCTTCACATTTGCTGTAAAAATATGAGCTTTATGATGTTTAGCACAGTAAGATATTTTAGGGGAAACTGTGTGAAGAAGCATTAACGCTTTTAACTGAATCATCTACATGATGAGGCTAAAGTCGACTTGACCACTGTTTGGTTTGAGTCCATTGTAGCAGGTCAATGGATCCGGCTGGTCAGCTTCAGTGTCCCACTGACTAGAGTCCCACTGACTATCACACATCCTTGCGATCAGTCCCTACAGTTTGCTGTTAGGGTCAGTCTCCCACTGCGTTCCCTATTGGTTCCTCTAACTGTTTCTCATACTCAAATAAAGCTTGATGTACAAAGTCATACTGTTCGTGTGTTTGAATCATACCACCCCTGTAAAACAACAAATAGGTGGATCAATTTCAGTATTACACCATTATTCTTATATAGAATGCCTGGAACAACAGGCACTGAACGTAAGCAAATATTTCCATTACAGGTGAACCTTTAACCTTAAAGCTCCAATTTGCTTGTAATGAGAATGCATAATTACTTAAAGACAGATGTGGTCTTACAAAAGAGTTCTCAAACTAGGCCTAAAACTGGTGACATGTTACTTTGTATTCTCCATCAACATTGAAAGTATTGAAGTTTACAAAAGATGCACAGAAAAGAAAATGTATCTATAAACCATACAAAGTAAAATGACATGTAACATGATTTGGTGAAACTACAAAAGGAAATATTTCATGTGAAATAATTCTATTATTTACAGTATCAAACACAAATTAAAGAACCACCCATTAAACAAAACAAATGTTACTTCAGGGAAATGAAAATTAATGTCCTCGTGAATAAATATAAAGGCGAATTGGTTTGAGCAAAATATAGGTCATCTAGAGAAACGGAATGAGATAATTAAACTCCATTACAGTTGAGACTTGATGTTAATGAGGTTGCATCAAGCCAGTGTTTTAGAGGACAGATTCTATTTTTTTCTGTCTAAACTGCTCCAGTATTTAATCAAGCTACTACACCTTCTGCGGGCAAAGGTGGCTGAGTCATCTACATTGAGAGAGGCAGTAAGATTGTTTACTTTGAATTTGGGTACATTGATTGTTTACTGGGAATGAGGTTGGCTAGATTATCTGCTTAAACAAGAGGCCCAATTGGCCTGCATCGCTCACCCGGTATTAATCTCACACTTGTAACCTTAAAAGTGATCTAAAATAAAGCTACATGCAAAATATCAGTATTTATGACTACAAGTCATTCAAAAGAATCTGTTAAAATATTTTGAAATAGTTTACCCTTGTGACCTTGAAAGTCGAAAAAGGTCATTACGTTTAAACAAACTTTATAGCTCTTCATCTCAGCATGCAAGCAGCAGCATTGCCAAATACCACTAATCAAGACCTTTTGTTTATTGAGGTAAGGTTATTTAAAGATTTATACATATTTGACAAAATGGGACCTTGAAAGTAAGTCAAGGTCATGGAAATGAAAAAGCTTGATAGCCCTTCATCCAAGCATGCTACTGGCCAGTAAGTCAAGGTCATGAAAATGAAAAAGCTTGATAGCCCTTCATCCAAGCATGCTACTGGCCAGATATCTGGTTTCTAGGCCTTATGGTTGTTCAGAAGAAATCATTTAATTTTTTTTTTAACCATATTTGACTCCTTTGACTCATTTTAACCTACTTGGTAGCCCTTTATCCAAGCATGTTATGGGCTAAATATCATCATCCTGAACCTTTTGGTTATTCAGAAGAAGTTGTTTAAAGATTTTAAACATATTTGACCAAATGTGACCTTGAATATAAGACAAAGTCATTCATTTTAACAAATTTGGTAGCACTTCATTCTAGCATGCTACTGGCTTTATATTAACATTCTGGGCATTATGGTTATTCAGAAGAAGTTGTAATTTAAGATTTTAAACATATTTGACCAAATGTGACCTTGAATATAAGACAAAGTCATTCATTTTAACAAATTTGGTAGCACTTCATTCTAGCATGCTACTGGCTTGATATCAACATTCTGGGCATTATGGTTATTCAGAAGAAGTTGTTTAAAGATTTTAAACATATTTGACCAAATGTGACCTTGAATATAAGACAAAGTCATTCATTTTAACAAATTTGGTAGCACTTCATTCTAGCATGCTACTGGCTTGATATCAACATTCTGGGCATTATGGTTATTCAGAAGAAGTTGTAATTAAAGATTTTAAACATATTCGACCAAATGTGACCTTGAATATAAGACAAAGTCATTCATTTTAACAAATTTGGTAGCACTTCATCCTGGCATGCTACTGGCTTGATATCAACATTCTGGGCATTATGGTTATTCAGAAGTTGTTTAAAAGATTTTAAACATATTTTACCTCTGTGACCTTGAATAATGGTCAAGGTCATTCATTTAAACAAACTTGGAAGCACTTCATCCTAGCATGCTACTTGCTAGATATCAACATTCTAGGCCTTTTGGTTATTCAAAAGAAGACATTTAAAGATTTAAACATTTGACCCCTGTGACCTTGAATATAAGTCAAGGTCATTGATATGAACAAACTTGGTAGCCTTTTATCCCAGCATGCTACTGGCCAAATATTATAACCCTGGGCCTTTTGGTTATTCAGAAGAAGTTGTTTGAAAGTTTTTTAAGATAATTGACCCCCGTGACCTTGAATATTAGTCAAGGTCATTCATTTGAACAAACTTAGTAGCCTTTCATGCCAGTATGTGATTGGCCAAATATTATCATCCTGGGCCTTCTGGTTATTCAAAAGAAGTTGCTTAAAGATTTTAACATATGTGACCCCTGCGACCTTGACAATGTGCGAAGGTTATTCATTTGAACAAACTTGGTAGTCCTTCCTCCCAGCATGCTACTGGCCAAATACCAACACCCTTATAATGCTTCTCAGTAATTGAGAAGAAGTTGTTTTAAGTAAAAAGTTGACACTGGACAGACGCCGCACCCTGGCATAAGCTCACTTGGCCCTTCAGCTAAAAAAGTATGACTGCATCATCTACTGGAAATGAGGTTGGCTAGATTATTTACTGAGAATGAAAGTAGCTTGATTATCTGCTGGAAATGAGGTTGGCTGGACTATCTACTGGGAATGAGGTTGGCTAGATTATTTACTGGAAATGAGAGCAGCTTGATTATCTGCTGGGAATGAGGTTGGCTGGATTATCTGCTAGGAATGAATGTGTTTGGATTATCTACTGGGAATGAGAGTAGCTTAATCATCTGCTGGTAATGAGGTTGGCTAGATTATCTACTGGGAATGAGGTTGGCTAGATTATCTACTAGTAATGAGGTTGGCTGGATTATCTACTGGGGATGAAGGTGTTTGGATTATCTACTGGGAATGAGAGTAGCTTAATCATCTGCTGGTAATGAGGTTGGCTGGACTATCTGCTAGGAATGAAGGTGTTTGGATTATCTACTGGTAATGAGGTTGGCTGGATTATCTACTTGGAATGAAGGTGTTTGGATTATCTGCTGGTAATGAGGTTGGCTAGATTATCTACTGGGAATGAGGTTGGCTAGATTATCTACTGGTAATGAGGTTGGCTGGATTATCTACAGGGGATGAAGGTGTTTGGATTATCTAGTGGGAATGAGAGTAGCTTGATCATCTGATGGTAATGAGGTTGGCTGGACTATCTGCTAGGAATGAAGGTGTTTGGATTATCTACTGGGAATGAGGTTGGCTGGATTATCTACTGGGAATGAGGTTGGCTAGATTATCTATTGGAAATGAAGGTGATTGGATAATCTACTGGGAATGAGAGTAGCAAGATTGTCTTCTGTGAATGAAGGTGGTTTGATAATCTACTTGAGACAAAGAGGCTGAATTTTCTACTGTGTATATGGACAGTTGGTTTGTTTACTGGGAATGAAGGTGTTTGGATTATCTACTGGGAATGAGAGTAGCTTGATCATCTGATGGTAATGAGGTTGGCTAGATTATCTACTGGCGATGAAGGTGTTTGGATTATCTAGTGGGAATGAGAGTAGCTTGATTATCTGCTGGGAATGAGGTTGGCTGGACTATCTACTGGGAATGAGGTGGGCTAGATTATCTACTGGGAATGAGGGGGGTTGGATTATCTACTGGGAATGAGGTTGGCTGGACTATCTGCTAGGAATGAAGGTGTTTGGATTATCTACTTGGAATGACAGCAGCAAGATTGTCTTCTGTGAATGAAGGTAGTTTGATATGTATATGGACAGTTGGTTTGTTTACTGGGAAAGAGGTTGGCTAGATTATCTACTGGGAATGAGGTTGGCTAGATTATCTACTGGTAATGAGGTTGGCTAGATTATCTACTTGGAATGAAGGTGTTTGGATTATCTACTGGGAATGAGAGTAGCTTGATCATCTGCTGGTAATGAGGTTGGCTAGATTATCTACTGGGAATGAGGTGGGCTAGATTATCTACTGGCGATGAAGGTGTTTGGATTATCTACTGGGAATGAGAGTAGCTTAATCATCTGCTGGTAATGAGGTTGGCTGGACTATCTACTGGGAATAAAGGTGTTTGGATTATATACTGGGAATGAGAGTAGCTTGATCATCTGCTGGTAATGAGGTTGGCTGGATTATCTGCTAGGAATGAAGGTGTTTGGATTATCTACTTGGAATGAGAGCAGCAAGATTGTCTTCTGTGAATGAAGGTAGTTTGATAATCTACTTGAGACAAAGAGGCTGGATTATCTACTGTGTATATGGACAGCTGGTTTGTTTACTGGGAAAGAGGTTGGCTAGATTATCTACTGGGAATGAGGTTGGCTAGATTATCTACTGGGAATGAAGGTGTTTGGATTATCTACTGGGAATGAGAGTAGCTTGATCATCTGCTGGTAATGAGGTTGGCTAGATTATCTACTGGGAATGAGGTTGGCTAGATTATCTACTGGTAATGAGGTTGGCTGGATTATCTACTGGGGATGAAGGTGTTTGGATTATCTACTGGGAATGAGAGTAGCTTGATCATCTGCTGGTAATGAGGTTGCCTGGACTATCTGCTAGGAATGAAGGTGTTTGGATTATCTACTGGGAATGAGGTTTGCTGGATTATCTCCTGGGAATGAGGTTGGCTAGATTATCTACTGGGAATGAGGTTGGCTAGATTATCTACTGGGAATGAAGGTGATTTGATTATCTACTGGGAATAAGAGTAGCTTGATCATCTGCTGGGAATGAGGTTGGCTAGATTATCTACTGGGAATGAGGTTGGCTAGATTATCTACTGGGAATGAAGGTGATTGGATAATCTACTGGGAATGAGAGTAGCAAGATTGTCTTCTGTGAATGAAGGTGGTTTGATAATCTACTTGAGACAAAGAGGCTGGAATTTCTACTGTGTATATGGACAGTTGGTTTGTTTACTGGGAAAGAGGGTGGAATTAGATTACCTACTTGAGATGATAAGGCTGAATTATCTACTGGGAACAAAGAAGGCTGGATTATCTATTGTAAATTAAGATTAGCTACAGGGAATGTTGGTGGCTGGATTAGCTTTTTGTGATGACGGAAGCTATATTATCTACTAGGAGCTAGATTAAGGCTGTATTATCTACTAGATGCAAGATTAAGGCTGTATTATCTACTAGGAGTAAGGTAGGTTGGATTATTTACTGGGAGCAAGGGTGGCTGGATTATCATAGATTCATATGAAAAGTCTGCTTAGAACTATTCGTCCTTTGAAGTGGATGGAAGATTAAAATATGACCAAGCTTACCTGTCTATCCTCATTGTGCATACAGTACCGAGAGTATCTACCGAGTGTTCCTCTCGTAACTGTCTTATCCCAATACTTATACCAATAAAACAACCAGTCCTCCCTATACCAGCACTGAAATATTAATATACACACAGGCTTTAAACAAGCACTGAGATATTAATATACATACAGGCTTTAAACAAGCACTGAAACATTAATATACACACAGGCTTTAAACAAGCACTGAGATATTAATACACATACAGGCTTTAAACAAGCACTGAAACATCAATATACACACAGGCTTTAAACAAGCACTGAGATATTAATATACATACAGGCTTTAAACAAGCACTGATACTTTAATATACACAAAGGCTTTAAACAAGCACTGAAACATTAATATACACACAGGCTTTAAACAAGCACTGATACATTAATATACACACAGGCTTTAAACAAGCACTAAGATATTAATATACATACAGGCTTTAAACAAGCACTCATACACTAATATACATACAGGCTTTAAACAAGCACTGATACATTAATATACACACAGGCTTTAAACAAGCACTGAAACATCAATATACACACAGGCTTTAAACAAGCACTGATACATTAATATATACACACAGGCTTTAAACAAGCACTGAAACATCAATATACACACAGGCTTTAAACAAGCACTGATACATTAATATACACACAGGCTCTAAACAAGCACTGAAACATTAATATACATACAGGATTTAAACAAGCACTGAAACATTAATATACATACAGGATTTAAACAAGCACTGAAACATTAATATACATACAGGATTTAAACAAGCACTGAAACATTAATATACATACAGGATTTAAACAAGCACTGAAACATTAATATACATACAGGCTTTAAACAAGCACTGATACTTTAATATACACAAAGGCTTTAAACAAGCACTGAAACATTAATATACACACAGGCTTTAAACAAGCACATATATACATAACTTTTATACAATTAAATTTTGAACACAATGGCGATTTCCTGAATTCAGTGTCTTTCAAAATACCTCGATTTCCTGAATTTAGTGTCTTTCAAAACATCTTCTCCTTATTTTATTGCACAAAACAATTATAATATTTCCAAGGGTTGAACATAACTAAACAATATCTTTACAAAATATTATCATTATTATTAAAAACAAAAAATGGTTAAAGCTCAGACACTAGACTATTTCGTCTTTATTGCAATTTACAAAGACTGGTTCCTGAGTTTTGCAATAATTCCAGGTCCATCTTTATGTATACACTGATCATGACTGGTTCCGTGTTGTCTTACCTGCAGTGTACAATGACTGGCCCTCTTGTTCGGATACCGTCGTGATGGTGACGGCGTTGTTCTACCTCTTTTATGAGTTCTAGGAGCATGGTGGGTGACGTAGGAGGCTTGTGGTCAGGCCAAGCGGTGTACCAGTAGTGGAGGACATGTTGAATCTCCCCATTACTCTGTCACATAAAAACAACGCAAATCAATACGGAGTTAAGGATACACATAACTAGAGTTCTGTTACCTATATAACTATATCCTTCCCAAAAGAGTTCTGTTACCTATATAACTATATCCTTCCCAAAAGAGTTCAATAGTAAGGACCAAGCAAAAATATTCAAGGTGTTTTGGTAAAAAAGAGGTATAACAGATTAAGAGCAGAGGTATTTCAAGGAAAAGTTGTGCGTGTTGGCTGATTGAGGAGAGGTATATCTCTCGTGTCGTCTATAGAAAAACACCTGGAAGAGTTGGAGTCCTTACCATGAGGTGTCTGAGTTAAGAGGATGTGTGTCTTACATGGAGCAAGAGGTGTCTGTGGCAAGAGAGGTTGTGTCTTAACCCCTTAAGTACTGGTACCTCAGGAAGGAGGGGACAGATCTAACACTTAGGATTAGGTGTCTTACTTTCTCAAAGGAGGATCTCGGGGAGGAATAATAGAATCCATCCCTGATGTGAGGTATGGATAAGGTTATTCAAAGCTGAGGGTCTTTTGCTCAATATTTAATCCCGAGGGTTTGAATAACTTTATCCTTACCTCACATCAGGGATGGATTCCATTTCTTGCTTATTACCTAAAACCTGTTAAAACAGCTGCTCTTCCAGTAAAGTTGTAAACTGTCCACACATTTCTCATTTGCATATGAAGCCCGGATGGCTATTGTTAGTGATGTCAATGAACCTGACTGACCCTAAAACGTCATAAAATGACGTTGTGAACAATAGTGTGACCCCAAAAGGTCACTGTAATTCCCCTGCCAATCTGCGCATGTAAGCGATCTAGACCCGTGGGTCGGATAGAATTTTCCAGCACCGCCGGAAATGCAGATATCTCGGTCTAGTATGCAAGAAGGTTGTGTCTTACCCGGAGGAGGAGGTGTCTAAGGGAGTAGCCGTGCCGAGCCACCACTCTGTCCACTTTTACATCTATGTCCCCAAATGTGGCCGATGAGTTGTCCTCTGGTAGGTAATTTTCACATTTGGGCTAAAACATGGAAACACTCACATTACAGACTCTTCACACACAAATGATATATTAGCTCATAGATATTTAAGTTATTTGTCATTCAGGTCTATGCATTAAAATTTAATTCTAAAATAATGAATCAAACCATTCTGCAATTAAACTTGTGTATAAACTAAACTACTATAGATATAATACTTTTGTATTCATAACTCATCAAAATGGTCAAATTCAAACTTTGCAAATTAAGGATCCTCGTGCTACTGCAGAAAACTTTAAGTAAGTATTGCAAGCTGAGCTAAAAACCTCAGTGCAGTGGGACAGGGATCCTTAAGAGACTTAACCATCCTTATTCCATACATTTTGAGAGCACATGCATTGATACTTACTCGTCCTTTTTCCTTGAGTTTTGTGATCATGACAATAATGGGGGCCTTCTCTGCCCATACCATCCGCCAAAAGTCCACTATTGTGTGGGACATTGGTCCTTGGGTAGCGACATAGGCGTGGGGCTCTCCGTCATATCCCTGTATAATGACAAACAAAATGTATATGATGGTTGTTTACATTTCCCTTTTGGCTCAATTTGGAATCGAAGGTATATGACATAAACCAGTATTTTAAATTTTTGTATACCCGCCTTTTTGCAAATATGGAAGGGAAAACTTGCATTCACAGTTCTTGAAAAGAATGTTTTTTATTTGTATAAAATATGACTTTTTGGCCTTTATAGAGCCCTGCAAGGTTACAAGGGCTGAAACCCAACATTTTAACAACCTCAGACCACCATCATATTAATTGCAATGCCCCAGCCATGTTGGTGTGGAGAATAAATGTCAAAGGACAACAATGAACGACAAAAGGACACACCAGGAGATATAACAAAGACTGTCGCCCAAGAGCCATCTTGTTCTGATAATTCTCAAAAATACACAAGTACAACCAAGGATCACCGGGAAGAGACAAGAGCTGCGTAGGGATGGATAACAACAGACGGACCATGGACAAAAGGAGAACAACTCACATCTGATAATGAGAGATATGTACATCTAAGCTTTCCCACATTTACCAGAATAATCATGGAAGTAATGTTGTCAATGTATACTAACACATCTCCAAGAAAAATAGCATTGCTCAACAACATTAGCATACTCCTGGTAATTACATTCGACCTCCAATGAAATCAAATAAATATACCTCGGAGAAACAATTAATGAGATCAGTTACAAAATGTGATTTATGAGGTTTTTGTTGGCCCGATGTATCTACAATATGTTGGTCTTATTTCTGTAATATGGGCCTTATAGTTCAACCTATAATCAACTTCTGGAAATAAATTTCCAACAATGTGCATCTACTCCATGTCTTAATAAAATCCTAGTTTCCCCTGAAGCATCGTCTTCAACACAATACTGGCAAAGATAATCAATGGCCGCTCCTTTAAGATTAATGGAAATGTTTGGACAACTTTCTCCGATGTTCTTATTTACTTTCTTAGTTTTCTAGATTCAAGGCCAAATAACTTAATAAGCTCCTTTTGAAACAGGTGTGGCCGGTACACAATTCCCCTTATGGTTTTAAGGATGATCACCTTAACACTAACACTACTTACCAGAAAACACAAATTTCTCTCAAGCAAATTACAGCTGTCAGTAATGCCGAGCATTGGACAAATTAAAGGCATATCATTCGGAGTGTTTAAGTCTGATTTCATTATTATACAAAGATATAGGTATCAAATATTTTTCGGGAGTGTATTACGAATCAATTGCCACCCTCATAATTTGAAACAGAAAAAAATTGACACTTTATCTTGTTTGAATTATTTTCTAGTAAATTTTCTCTATTATCTTAATAGTCCATTTTCCTATTTTTCGTTTGTTTAAAGAATGTATATGATTAAAATGACTAATCTCTATAGGAAAATTTTGGAATGGATTTTTTTTGTCAGATTTTAGGGTTCAGATTTCTATTGTTTAAATGAAACTGAGAAGAAATGTTCGAAATCTCAGTTGGATATTGGATATTGGACAGAAATAGGTGAAAAAACCCTGATATTCAACCAATTATGATTTTATGGCTTAGAGCAAAATATGACTTTTCTGCACACTTGACTTAACTGACACACTGATATATTTGACCAATTATTCACTTCTTGCTTGATGTCTGCAGTAGACAAGGTTAATTGAAAGTTAGATGCAATTGGAAAGGTGCCGAGAACTGAAGGTAGGGGTATATCTGGACAAAAATGGGCGCGGACAGCTGGACTATAACTGATCCAAATACCAAATGGTGATTTCTTTATAATTCCATCTAAAAAATGTATGTCATGTCTGCAAGTAGTATGATTACACTACAAGTGGTATGGTTACACTACAAGTGGTATTATTACACTACAAGTGGTATGGTTACACTACAAGTGGTATGGCTACCCTACAAGTGGTATGATATAACACTGTAGGTGGTATGATTACACTGCAAGTGGTATGATTACACTGCAAGTAGTATGATTACACTGTAAGTGGTATGATTACACTACAAGTGGTATTATTACACTGTAAGTGGTATGATAACACTGCAAGTGGTATTATTACACTGAAAGTGGTATGATTACTTTGCAAGTGGTATGATTACACTGTAAGTGGTATGATATAACACTGTAGGTGGTATGATTACACTGCAAGTGGTATGATTACACTGTAAGTGGTATGATTACACTGCAAGTGGTATGATTACACTGCAAGTGGTATGATAACACTGCAAGTGGTATTATTACACTACAAATGGTATGGTTACACTACAAATGGTATGGTTACACTACAAGTGGTATGGTTACACTGCAAGTGGTATGATTACACTGCATGTATTATTATTACACTGCAAGCGGTATTATTATAAGTGGTATGGTAACACTACAAGTAGTATTATTACACTGCAAGTGGCATGATTACACTGTAAGTGGTATGATTACACTGCAAGTGGTATGATTACACTGCAAGTAGTATTATTACACTGTAAGTGGTATGATTACACTCCAAGTAGTATTATTACACTGCAAGTGGCATGATTACACTATAAGTGGTATGATTACACTGCAAGTAGTATTAGTACACTGTAAGTGGTATGATTACACTGCAAGTGTTATGATTACACTGCAAGTGGTATGATTACACTACAAGTGGTATTATTACATTGCAAGTGGTATGATTACACTACAAGTGGTATTATTACACTGTAAGTGGTATGATTACACTGCAAGTGGTATTATTACAATACAAGTGGTATTATTACAATGTAAGTGGTATGATTACACTGCAAGTGGTATGATTACACTGCAAGTGGTATGGTTACACTGTAAGTGGTATGATTACACTGCAAGTAGTATTATTACACTACAAGTGGTATGATGTAACACTGTAGGTGGTATGATTACACTGAGTTCCAACCAACAGTAAAATGGAGGAAGCTTAATCACTTGATCTGTAGAATAGTAAGTCTGTTTACAGCTAGGTTTAATACCTGTTACAGGACCAAAAACAATGTGTTCTCAGCTCAATATTCAAATTATTAATTTGCTTTCCTTTTCTAGTTCTCAGCTCTAATCAATATTCAAATTATTAATTTTCTTTCCTTTTTTTACTTCTTTTCAAGTTTCCATTCCCATAAATAAATAAATATAAGTCGACTTTGACATGTAAATATATAATTAAAATTTCACTTTTTTCACTTTTAATTTCCATTAAAAAATCAAAAATCAAATATAGCGTACTTGTTACAATTCTCACAAGTATTTAAATAATCTCCAACGAAGTTTGATCTGCTCTCCTGCAGTTGTTTATCAAATCCTGAAGCCCAGGAGACCTTCATCAGTTGTTTATCAAATCCTGAAGCCCAGGAGACCTTCAGGTAGCAGAATACAGTAGAAATGGCCAGACTCTGATAAACAAGGCACATGTCGAGGAAATGTAAACACAGCGGATTTACCCTACACAACACATGTATACATGTATATATATTTGTAAACTGCATTACATTTACAATACATATAAAGTACTGAGAAGTGTATAAACCTCTTTTTTCTATGTATGTCACTTGTGTGAAAACCATGGTTACCACATCAAAAATTACCAAAAAATGCCAAAAATTGCTATTTTTAACCCAAAATTTGACCCCCACAACTAGTATTTTTTTTCCTAAGCTCTGTTTGAAATTAAAGATTACCTACCTGGTTGCAGAATTATCTGGGTCCCAGTAAAGTTGTAAAACTTGATTTTTTGCAATTTTGCGTCGTGTGCTGTTGTCAAAATTTTACTTCCTGTAAAGCTAGCTTTTCATGTGTACGCACCCTTTCGGATTATGGCCAAAATTTTATTCTCGAACCAAAAAAATCTTCTTTCTTTTTAACAAATGTGAAGCTCACATAGCCCACTTCATCATGCTTATACCAATTTTAGTACAGTTTTATTTTTATATTTTTTTTACATTTCATTATACAGGAGTTAGCCATTTAACAAAAATATCACCCATGGCCACAACCCTCTACTGTACACTGCTACCTCATCAGTTGATGATTAAGTGGTTGTAATGTATGTACATGTAGATTGACGTTAAACAGTCCTTTCTGGATTTCCTTATGTCTTCTATCATTGATTCTATTTAGATTTAAGGCTTCCCTGTATCACACCTCATTATATTTAAATAATATGCAAATACAGAAGGTCTCTGCTTTTGGTCGGGGAAATAAGACATGTAGCTTAGTAATTATAAAAATATCTGTAAGACAAGAATGCCCCTTTAATTATACCCCTGAAGCTGGTAGACTAATGACAATGAATCTGTTGACAAAATTGATCTATAAATAGCATATATCTGACCTTTACATAAACTTGGATGAAAATCTGTAAACAAATTACAATAGAGTTACAACTTATAAAATTGGACTCATGACGGGAAAGGATCGTAGAAATTTTGATGCAGTTAATTAGCATCAATTTTGTTATATATTGTCATAATCTTGACATAGTTTCAAAACTCTTCAACTTTGAATGACCTTGTGAATTTCACCTATAATATTTACTTACACTACAGCCTCCATTTAGTTCACATTTAGCTACCTGGTAAGCATCTTTTGGTCTACATATACAACCTTATGACATGTGTTGATTATCAGGTATTTTGTTTTTAATTTTAATTTTAATAAGAGAAACTGATGTAACCTGATGCAAAATGTTAACATTTGTTATAAATAATGAATGTCAGTATATTTAGAACTATCAGCGACAATCGGAGAGAGAACCATCAAACACAATCACAAAAGCCATCAAACGTGAACACTGAATCAACCTTAGATCACTGAATATGATAGACATGATCAATCGAGCAATTAGGAAAAGCAAAATGATACAACAACTACCATTCCCATCACTCTGTCCACCACTATAAAGACAGACCTGAGACTAACGCAATTTAGGCTATATATGCTACCTTACAAATTATATACCTGTGATTTGCATATGAGTCAGAATTA